ACATAAAATAAAATGTTTTTTAAAGCAACACTGCAATTGTGACTTTACTTCAGTGTTGTTACTGCTGAAGGCGGTACCCGATTTCAGTATCCGCCAGAGTTTGAAGAGCTCACTGAAGGCTTTCACTGCTTGTGGCCACTAGGGGGCAGAATAAGTCCACCCATAGTGTTGACGCAGCCTTCTGTGGTTACAATGACTCAGGTGAGGCTACACTAGCTTGTTTCCTGCAGGCACTCGTCAAGGGGGGCCTGCCTTCTCCAGCATCTAAGAAGAGCGGTATCTCCTTTCCAATGCCCAGGCTTAGCACATTTAGTTACATTTGTGACTAATGTAACTGCTGATCCTGCTGCAGGGACTGATGTGTTTACATATGGTAAAGCTGAGGCCAAGGAAGGGACCAAGCTTTCTAGAGAAGAGTGAAAGGCTGGGCATGTAGTGCAGTTACTAGCATGCTTCCTGGGCGTCACGTCTACGAAGCCCTGGGTGTGGCCCTCGGCACATAAACTGGGTATGTTGCTGAATGCCAATCCCTGTCATCCCCACACTCGGAAAGTGGAGACAGGAAGATGAGACGTTCAAGATCATCCTTGGCTACATAATGGGTGTGAGACCAACTTGTACCTTATGAGAGCCTGTTTCCTCTCACAGTGACAGTGGGGGGGGGGGGTAAAGAAACAGAAGAGGAGGAGGGATGTTAAACCTACTGCAAGCTGTTGTTAAACATCTCACCTTATAGTGTTTTATGGCAACTAGGAAATAGGTTACAGAGCCCCCAGCCAAGAACGCAAGGCTGACAATATCCAGTTCAAGTCCTGGCCTTTCCACTAGATCTCACTGCCTTTCATAAACTCAGGGAGATGGACCCTTCAGAAGAGAGAAAATAACAAGCACGGTTAATGCTGCATGAATGAAGCTCCCAAACACCCAGTAGTACTAATTAAAGACACACGAGAAAAGATGGTTCAAGCATAGCTCCTGGACAAAGTTATGAGTCAAATGCTGGAGGAGGAGCAGGCCACAGATTAACAGAGTAATGAAAGTCCTAGGGAAGGAAGGAAGTCATGTGACAAGGAGACTAACTTAGCTGAAGCAGAAGACGCACAGGAAAAGCAATGGGAGCCACAGGCCTTCACTTGAGCTCTGGCAAAGGCCCTGAACTGGGGGTGGGAAGGATCACCAGAAAAGAAGCCTCCATTTAAGAGCAGAGGATCAAATGTCACAAAAGTGATGACACAAAGTGTGAAACTATCTGCCAACATCACCTACAAATGCTGGGTGGAGCAGGACACGTGGCAGCCGGTGTTTGAACTTGGTCTTGAAAACTAAATGTCAGTAGGTGGCAATGGGGAAGAATAGCCTGAGCCATCACAGAAAAAGAGGAGGACGGAGCCTTCGAGGAATGCTGGGTTATAGTGAGGGCTCCAAGATGAGCAGGTGACAGTAGAGTCAAACCTGAGTCCTTAGGACTTAGCACAGCCAGTGTTTGTCCCTAAAAGGATGCCACTCCTTTTGAGACAGAAAAAAAAAGGGGGGGGCTGCCAAACGGAAGCACAGCACCTCTGCGGAGACGACGTGAGAATTTCTCCAAAGGAGAACACTCTGCTGTTACTCCTCCCAGACTGTATAGGTTAAGAAGTTGGAAACAGGAGCTGGAGAGATGGCTCTGCAGTTGTGAGCACTGGCTGCTCCTCCAGGGGAGCCAGGTTTGATTCCCAACATTTCCCATCACTCACAAGGTGGGTCACAGCCATCTGTAACACCAGCCCTGGAGCATCCAATGCCCCTTTCTGGCCTCTGGGGGCCCTGCACACACATGGCCCCCAGACATGCACACAGGCAAAATACCTAGCTAGTGCTCTTAACCACTGAGCCACCTCTCCAGCACCTCAATTCCATTTTTTTAGCTCTGTACTTGGCCTCCTTGCTTTAATAGCTCTTTTGTCTCACTAAGGAAACGCTGTGCACTCATTCCCAAACGTGTTACTAAAGTCAACGTTCAAAGGCTCAGAAAAAAAGTAAACTATCACATGCTTGCCTATGTCATCACCAGATGCACATTATTTTTTTAAATGCTTCTTTGGCAATAGCTTGTGTTTATTGCTAAAGTATCATGAAACACAATGGAGCAGATGGGAACCTAAGAAGGAATGTTCAAGTGCTGCTTTTAAAATTCCACAGTTGTGTGCTCCTGATGGAATGAGTGAAGCAGCTAGTGACGAATGAATGTGCATGACAATTTAGCAGAGTCGATCCTGCTGGGGAAAAAGCATCCTTGCTATCCCTCTTGGCTGCAAGGTAAGTCCTTGAATGAAATGTGAAGTCACCTAACTGCCCGCACCTCCGGTGCTAGAGCCAGCACGTAGAACTGAACCTTCTTTGTTCTTGTGGTGGAGAAGGCTGCCACCTCTACCAACTTGTCCTCAGGAATGTCGTTCTAGAAATAAACCGCCTGGCATTCGTGAGTCATACACAGAAGTTCATTCATTTGAGCCACTGACTTTTCTTAGGCCCTTTGTATTTCAGCGAGCCCCTCAGGGCTTCTCCTCAGCTCTTCCCTCACGGCCACTGTCCATGCTTCCTCCATTACTTTCTATTTGACTTTCCCTGATGTTTACTTGCAGAACAGCAGACCCCAGCACCCGAGGTAGAGCTGGCTGAATTCTGAAGCATCCCAGGGAAGCCTGGTAACCCACCTACCCAGAGCCACTCATCACACACCCGCCTAGCCCCACCTCTGATACCAAGCACACTTGTGAGGCACTGTACCAATGACAAACTCTGTATCTTAAGGCAGAGACTGAGACACAGTTCATCTATTTTCTTTTAAATGTTCAGATTCATTTAAACACATTTTTTACTATAAACAATAATATAAAACTGATGTGTCCCTTGCTAATAAATAATTTGCATTGCAGTGTAATTTTTGTAGCTTTTATATTCTAGAATATTTATGGTGTTTTTTAAAGATTTGTTTTATTTATTTGTAGAGTGCATGTTGTACGTGCGTGCATGCATACGTGTGTGTGTGTGCGCGCACACACACACACACACACCATGTTTGTGCCAGGAGAGAACACTGGATCCCTTAGAGCTGGAGTTCCAGGGGAGTTGTGAGCTGTGAGTTGTTCAGTGTGAGTGCTACAGTCAAATCTGGTCATTTGTAAAAACAACAAGCACACTTAACTTTTGAGTCATCATTCCAGCCCCCTAGAATATTTTAAAGCAGAAATATAAAATTAAGATAAAATTTAAAGAACGTAGGAATGTGAATAAAGGAAATGTGTCTCGGAGCCCTGCCAGCCCCTGCCCCTCAACCTCTCATAGCTGGACGGCACCTTGCAGACCTTCATGGTGAGTGCGTGCACACGCTCGTGTATGCACTTCTTCAGGTAGCTTCATGCTCACACAAACGAGGTCATATCTGCCCTGCAACTTCCTACGCTACTCCCTTCTAGGTCCCCACGTCGGTACATTTGAATTACTAACAACCACATAATATAAGGCAGTTTGAGTGTGTCATAATTTATTTAAACATTCCTCCATGACTGGGCACTAAACTTGCTTCCTGTTTAGAGTTTGCCTGTGGGTGTGACAATGCTGTGCTGAACATCTTTGTGTGAGTCTCTGTGTATGCTCCGTGAATGTGTCTACACAGACGTACAGTTGATGTGTCAGGAGATAAGCATGCCAGTTTATATCTTAAAGTTTAGATCTTTCACATTTTATAATTAAAAAAGTAGCTGCATATGATAGTTCATGCTTGTAATCCCAGAAATTGGGAAGAAAGGTAGGAGGTTTGTGGCAGGTTCAAGGCCTGGTCTACACAGTGAACACTGGGCCAGCCAGAGCTACATAGCATAAGTCTGTCTCAAAAAAAAAAAAACAAAAAACAACTGTTTGATTAAAAATTAAACACTCTGCCGTGTATGACGGTGCATGCCTTTAATTACAGTACTTGAAAGGTATGGGCAGGGAGAGCCCTGAGAGTTCAAAGGCAGCCTGATCCGCATAGTGAGATCCAGGACAGCCAGAGATGCACAGTTAGACCCTGTCTCAATAATAATAATAAACGCTTGCACTAGAGAGATGGCTCTCCCAGAGGTCCTGAGTTCATCCCAGCACACAAGTCAGAGCTCACAACCATCTGTAACTCCAGCGCGGGGAGGTACGACACCCTCTTTTGACCTCCACAGATACCTACACTCACATGTACACATACAAATGCATAATTAAAATTTTAAATGCGTGGCTAGAGAAATGACTCTCCAGTTAAGAGTACTGGTTGTTCTTCCAAATTCAATTCGTAGCAGCCACAAGGTAGGTCACAGCTTCCATCTAGAACTCCAGTTCTAATGCATCTGATGCCGCCTTCTGTCCTTTGTGGGTGCCAGGCATGTTGTGGTACACAAACACATATGCAGACAGAACACCCAAACACATCAGTAATTTTTGACATTTTTAGATTATTTTATTATTTTATGTCTGTGAGTATTTTGCCTGCACGAACGTGTGTGCCACATGCATGCCTGGCATCTGCCGAAGAGGGTGTTGAATTCCTTGAGACTTGAGTTACAGACAGTTGTAAGCCACCGTGTGTGTGCTGGGAACTGAGCCCAGATCCTCTGCAAGAACAAGTGCTCTCAACTGCCAAGTCATCTCTCCAGGACCAACACATAAATAATTTTTAATTAAACAAATCTATTGTTAACTCATTGTAAAGACTTTTTATTTTTAATCATGTGCATGTGCATGTGTGAGTACAGGTGCCCTCAGAGTTCAGATGAGAGAGCATCAGATCCCAGGGGCTGGAGTCACAGGCAGTTGTGTGCCTCCTGATACAGTTGCCAGGAATTGAACTCAGCTAACTCTGCAAGAGCAGTACATGCTCCTAACCATGTCATCTTCCCAGCCCCACCCCCAAAAAAAACTTAAAATAAATAAGTGAATAATAAGATTGGGAAAAAAAGCCATTTTAACCACCATTTTCCTTTCTTCTGCAGAGAGTTCTATCCTGGAAGCTGACACTGTCCTTCAGACTCTAGGCAACGATGTTGTCAGCATGGAGGTCTTCTTCAAAGCCTGGCTGCATAACAGTGAAACTGACCGAGAACACATCCACCTTTTTCTTACTCCGCAGAGCCTTCCTCCTTCTTCCAGAGCCAAGGATGAGCCAAGTACACAAACCTGAAAGGATAGGTTCTGTAGGCTGAGTGTCCTTGCCTAGCATGAGCCAAGTACACAAACCT